AACAAAAATACATAACCATAATTCAATTCATGATAAAAATATGAATTAAGAAAATGATTCTAAATTTTATTAAACATATTTGTTTGTATACAACATTCATGGTGTTCCTATCGTCGGAATCACCATCACCACATATCATTATCTTCAAACTTTTCCTATTCGTAACTCTATGAAGAGCAACGTACAACTGTCCATAATTGAAAACAGGGTTGTTCAAGACTAAGCGGACGTGTGAGAGAGATTGGTCTTGACTCTTGTTAATCGTCATAGTATATGAGACCATGATATAAAATTGTCTGGGTTGAAACTTGAACGGTACCCTAAAACAAATAAAGAATAATAAAAATATGTGCCGAATTTATTATAATTGTCAGCAAATGTAATCATGTGGATATAAATTATCTACTGAACAAATAATTGCATTATAAACAATTGCTGATTTAAGATGGATAACATATTAAAAAATGTGGTGAATTAGGCTTAATTTTTTATTAAAAATTTTATAAATGTGGCTTGAGCCGATATTCTCAATAAGTCTATTGGGTTCATTTTAAACATTATTTTTTTTGGGCTTTACCAAATCATATCGGCGGATCACGTGTTTTTTTCTTTGTAAAAAATATCCAAGATCTCATTTTTTTATCAATTTTTGTCAATAATCATGCCATTTTCTTTTTTTTTCGGTCACATATTCCAATCAAAATCTATTTTTTTTAAAATAAAAAAATTCAAACAAAATCGAGTTCTAACATCAAATCATTCCGATTTTACAGTCTCGTTTACTAAATCACAGTAAAAAGTGTAAATCGTCTGATTATATATTATATCTATCAAGATCTGTAATTTTTTGTTTATATTTAAGGTTGTCGTCCCTATGTGACTAAAATGCTTCAATGAATCATAAGAAAATATTTCAATCGGGTGATTTTAGTACGAATCTATCAAGATCTGTAATTTTGGTAAGAATTTATGATTTTTTCTATAAAACCGTATTTTCAGTTAATTTCAGAAGTCGATTGATATTTTCTTGTCGTCCCTATTTTACTAACATACATCACTGAATCATAAGAAAATGGTTCAATAGGGCGATCATAGTACGGATCTATCGAGATCTGTAATGTTTATTGAGAATATATAATTTCTTTTTAAAAAATCATGTTTTCAGTTGATTCAGAAGTATATTGGATATAAAATCTTATTTTAGTGTTTGTTTTGCCATTTTTTTCAAAATTTTGAAATATATACATAATTTGATGTCTTTTGCTCAAAACATTGATTTGTTTTTTTGCAAAGAATGAACGGATATTGTTATATTTACTGATTTTCTTATGATTTTTTGAAGAATATACGTGTTGTTCGGTTGCAACAGTCGATCTGGATATACATATGAGCCATGTGTCCGGTTTTCAAATAAAACAAAATCTTTAAGCACACCTCATTTCTACTCGAAATATTGTTAAAATAAGGTTTTAATATTCATTTATGTTATTTCTTGAATATTTTACCTTAACTTTAAGGATGTGTGATCGAACAAAGGTGAAAGCACTAAAAAAAATAGAAAAAAAAATAAAGCAACAAAAAAAGCAAAAAAAAAAAAAATATCATTCTTGAATTTTGTAGGGAATAAATGGAAAGTACAAATACAACAAAAACCATGACTCAAGAGGCCAACCAGATAAAAAAAGCAAAAAAAAATCATCAAGATCAGATTTTTTTCAGCTAAGCAGGGAAAAAAAATAAAATATTTAACCAATATAAATAAGAAAAAAGGTCATATATACATTTTTAAACTTTCTGAGTAAATAAGAGATATGGTAATTACAACAAAACCCATGACACATAAATGCAGAATAATAAAATTAAATAAGAGAAATGGTAATTACTTTAGGCGAGAAATGAAAACTAATAATATTAAATGCTGAAACTTTGGACTATAACATAATTAAATGCAGGATAATAAAATTATATGAAGAATACTTTTTTGCTCCAAATCAGACCCAAAATGTTTTGTGTACAAAGAAGTGTTTACTAATTTATGAAGTTTTAAATTTGTTTTTTTTTTTTCATTTTATATGTGTTACATATCTACAAAGTGCATTATTTTAATGTTAATATTAAAAAATATTCATAAAAATATATCATCCCATGCATCGCACGGGTCAGTACTAGTTATATGAAGAATACTTTTTTGCTCCAAATCAGACCTAAAATGTTTTGTGTACAAAGAAGTGTTTACTAATTTATGAAGTTTTAAATTTGTTTTTTTTTTTTCATTTTATATGTGTTACATATCTACAAAGTGCATTATTTTAATGTTAATATTAAAAAATATTCATAAAAATATACCATCCCATGCATCGCACGGGTCAGTACTAATTATAATGAACCAAAGTATGTATATTATTATTTTTCTGGATTAAAAATATAACATCATTCATTGTTATGCTAACCATTCCTTCACTTCAGCCAGAAGTAATCAAATTGCACCTTTGATAAATTCTTTATTGCTAAAAAAAATCAAGGATCAAACAAATACAATTCAAAATCAAATTCGTATAAAGGACTGCCCTTCCTGTAGCCAATGTTGCATTTTGGGATTAGGAAAGTGTTGCGTGTACCGCAATCCTGAACAAACTCTACTGTGAAAAGAAAAGCGCCCTCGGCAAATGCCTTACTGTTGAGGTTCGTCGGCTGGAAGTTCTGAGGCTAACGGAGAGCTATTCGTAAGTATGGAGCCCAAGACCGGCTTTGAGAGGTTTAAGAAGGCTCCTTTACAGCTTTTTCGTAATAAATCTTGGACTTCGTCCGCTATCTTGGTCTTCGACCGCCAACTCTATATATGTTTAAATATTATTTATATTAATATAAACGGGTCAGCAGACTAATATATTGTTAAAATAAAATTTTGAAAAGATGTTATAAAATACGGAACCCCATGCATCGCATGGGATTCTCACTAGTATGTTTTCATAATTGCAACAGATCAATTGGTTATTTAAAAAAAAAACTCAGATTTCATAGAAATCGGGTTAATTTAGTTAAATTCGGCACGACAATTTTGTAAAAATTCTCTCATTTTATTTTTTTAAAAAAAAATTACCATAAAATCAAAAATTTCGAATTAGCGAAATACTATAACATGTATCTTTTACCTAATTGCAACATATCATGCTTATTAAGAAAAAAAATCAGATTGCATAGAAATCATGCCAAATTTCAAATTAAAAATTAAAATTTAAAATTTCTTATCATTTGGCTACAATTTTCTTTAGTTTTGATTTTTTTTTAACATAAAACAGAATCAGATAATATTAATTAAAATTTAAATTGAAATCGGATTGGAACATCCTAAAAATTTGTGTTTTGTTTAATCCTCTAGAATACAAACTTCAAATGGATAGCATACACCTACACAATTTTTCCCTTCTTTAAAATTAAGTAATTTCAAATTTTAAAATAATAAAGCTATATAATCAAGAATGACGTTTTACAATCTTTGTTATATTTGACTAATCAATCTTCATAAAACCAGTTTAAATCATATCATATATATCCTGCTAAATAATTTAATTGATTTATTTAAACCTATCTAGAATCCTAATGTAATTTGTGGCCGGCAGGCGATGTACCAGAATACCAAACAAACAAAGTTGTTTGCAAGGATGTGTTTAGTAATATATATAAGTTACATTTTGTTTTATTTCAATACATGCATTTTACGTTTTTACAATCAAACAATCATCCAAATCCAAATTCTTACCTTAATAAAATAGTCCGTGCATCGCACGGGTACCACACAAGTAAGGATTATATAAGAGAATAATTAAAAAAAAAAATATGATTACAGTTTAATTAACCAGAAAATGACCAGAAATCAGAATTGTGAAACGAAAAAAAAAAAAACTGTATTTTATGATTCCCTCCAATTGTTCTCCAACGGTTGGTTTCTTAAGAAAGGTAGCAGAACTTCTTTAATCAGAATTAGTACATCATCTGAGCTAAACTAATTCTGCCACCTGAACTATATTGGACCTATATCATGTGTATGATTATATTTATGCTCATTCTTTATTCAAAGCAAAACCATCCCATTACAAGCTGCAAATAAATCCAGATATTTCATGATCCATCACAGAGCAGAATAAGTTTTATTGCACTGGGCAATTCATAAGTTAAAACATGCTGTATCCCTTTTTCTCCACTCACAAAAATTGCATGGCCATAGAGCTGAACACGGAAAATCGATGATATCTATACATGCAGAAGTTATATATACATGTCGGTTATTTCGAACTAAGACTGACTTTACAATCTACAAGGTAAGATAAGTCTTTATCATGATGGCGCCCGTGGGATCGGATAAGAGATGGTTGATGAGGCGCTTTCTCATGTCGTTTGGTGCTATGACAAACATATAGAGAGCAAACAGTAAGAGATCGACTGAGGATAGAGTCGAGCCAAGGAAACCTTGAGACATCCTGTGAGACCAAAACATAGTAAAATCGTTCTTTGTTAAAACTGAAATAGCAAACACAAGTAAGCTATATAATCTTATATTCTAGACCCCGCCTAAGCGCTAGGTGCTGGTCGAGCGCAGCGGGCGCCCAATGACTTCTAGAATACTGATCAAAAGTCGAGATTTTGCATGGGGACGCGTGTCACTCCCCTGCCTCCTTAGTTAGCACACAACTATCATTACATTTCTACTTCTTTCATGTATAAATCTACAAGGACACAGATCGCAAGTTCATCAATACAACATTACTATCTCTCTCCCCAGTCTCTTATGATCAATATTTATGCAGATCTCACTATACTAGTCGACCATCCCTCTTTCTTAACACAATCTCCTGCTTTTGCGCTCCAACCGGTTTAACGTTCTCGTAAACAAAAGCAGTGCAAACTGTTACACTTAATCCCCAAAAATTTACCTTGTAACTGCCCCTCTTAATTGTGATTAACATCTAAACTCAACAGGAGGTATGTGCGAGAACGTACAAACTTGAGGTGTTTAGGGTAAGTTTCAGAATATAAGTGGTTTTGTGTTTGTAAATATGATTTGGTTTTGGAAGCAATGATTAGCATTAGAATCCCTTCAACAGTTTAAATATTGGGAAGTTACACATAGTTGTATCGATGTGCACTCAACTATGGACAGTTTATAGTTGTGAAACATAAGAAGATAATGATACATACTAAATGGTGGAGTGGTAAGTATAAGTTTCTCGATGTACCATTTCGGCAAACGGAAAAATGAGTGGAAGAATGTGCGTATGCCATCGATATCCAGTTGCAATATGAGTGCTAATCCAAACAGAAAAAATGCTCGTTGTCTTTTCCTCTCCAATGGCCAAAGAGCATTCCAAGCTGAACAAAGAGATTTTCAGTCCCGGTGATGTGAAATTGATACTGTAATAGACAAACAAGAATGAAAATTGAATTATTTCCTAAAATATATTAAAAGAGCAAAAAACTATTCACCTTGCATCGAGATATTTGAAATCCTCGAACTGATCACCATGTTTCGAACATTGGATTGTTTCAAAATATTTGCAATAACCAACGCATAATTTGGAGCCTCTGACAATGATCTAACAACCGAATAACCTGTCGCATGATAGATCACGTAATTATGGCAATTTGATTCACTAAAAGGATATCAAGCTATGGTTCATTCTGATGTTTACCTGTGGCTGGATGGACCATGCTAGCAGCAGCACCAAAGGCAAGGTTCTTCTGCTCGGTGTTCGGCAAGGAACCACCAACAGGAATATAAGACCATTCCTGAAAAGAAAATTAAGGTTTATGCAGTAGAATTGAGAAGTATGGTCACAAAATCTCTCTCTCTCTCTCTCTCTCTCTCTCTCTCTCTCTCTCTCTCTTAAAATGTGATGTTAAAAAAAAGAGTGAAAATATTTGTAAAAAATACCCTTGAGGCTGCTTTTAGTTACCAAAAAAGCCCAACAACTTGTCCACATTACAGATTTACAGGCTGCATCACTTGAGGAGGCACTAGTTATCAGGCAAATACAAATATCAACAAGATGTTTTAATACCTTAAGGGATTATTTCTATATTTGGAAACTGATTGACATTTTATTTTGTTTCGATCAATCTAAACCTTACGGGTAGCTTTTGCAATTTTAGAACATGAGAAAAAGCAAGCAGTGCACCTCTTCGTAAGTTCTTGTAATGCGCACTCCCATATTCTCTAGTCTCGACATGAGTTTGCTTTTCAATAATTCGAAAGGCATGGCATCTTTTGAAGCCAGACAGGTTTCCTGTGAAGTACTTGTGCTAGTTTAAAGATGAGAGTTTTTTTTTAAAATAATGCATGTTAACTAATACAGTTTCGTCAAACCTCAAAGAAAACTCTTGTTCGGGACATAGGCATTGCATAAAGAAAAGTTGGATATTGTGCTTCGAGGCATTCTACTTTATGTTTCATGAAGTCTCTGTAGTCCATGAAAACCATGAGACTGGGGTCATACGGACTGTTTTCCACCTGAAAATACAACCATCGGTGATTGAATACGAAAAGGTGCAATTTTAAATCCACTAGCCAAGAAGATCGTGCATTATTATGTATTGTTGCTTCTGCTATATAAACCTACAGCAAATTTTCACCATCTAAAAACAGATTTTTTTTTATTTTTTTTTCTGAGACACTCTCCTTTTTTCAACGAGCTTTTATATTTAACCATTCTAGATTCCTACCTCAACCTCAACTCCATAGGCTGTCTGCACGGAAACCCTTGGACCCCCAACCTCGTACTCCAAGAGCTTACCCGACGCAGCCCCAGATGCTACTGTAGCCAATCTGTAAATAAAATTTAGGTATTACAGAAGGATAAAATTTGTGTTCTTCAGAATC